ACCTTAGAGGGCCTATAAGAAGTCAAGAACTTCGTCGGAGCAGGAAAAATAGACAGAGATAAAGTTACACTTTTGGAAATCTTTGAGGAAATTTGTGGTACTTCGGTTCGCTTGAACATGGAGAGAGTTGACTAAAGGGACCAATTTCATCCTCTACTAAATTGCCAAATTTGGTGAAAATGATTGCTAATCTTCTAATCTCAACGGCTCAACCATTCTTGTAAGCGAGTTTAATTCCTAAAACACGGGGGATATCAACTTTTTTCCCAACCCACAAGAAAATTTAAGGAATTCGAAAGGAATGACTTCCTTGTGGACTAACCTAAAAGATCGAACCCAATGAGAAATATAATCAAACTTAGGACACCGCGTTTCATGGTGGGTTTCGCCTTTCAGTCAGGAAGTACATATCAGGCAGTTGTCACAAAGCTTGCATAATGATCCTAAACTTAGCATTCTACATTGGGTCTAGAGTACCTTACGTTTGATGCAATCTTATAAACTCTTGTGTAATGATTGGAGAGGAAAATCCTATACGATCCATTTTGGATTTGTATGGACCTTGTGTACACAGGCCATGGAAACTAACAGCTTGGGATCTTGATGCTGACACATCACATACTTTTTTCTTTTTGTCGGTTGATCTTAAGACGTGTTCTCGCTTTAAAACGATCTAGTATTGGAACAGACACTTCGTTAAAAGGGTCATAAATTTGGAGCGGGAGACATCTTGAAGATTGTTAAAGTCGTGAAGGCAAATTCGCAAGCTCAGACAAGACATGAAAGAGCCATGAAAACTTGCTCGAAGACCGCGTAATAGGGTTCTGAGAACTCCGTGTGAGATGAATTTTAGCAATGTTATTTTCAGGATTTAAGGTGAAAAAATGTACCAGGACGGTTGTAATTGAGTATTTAAACAAGTAGATAAACTTCAAAGCACCCGACGGAGTTCTGATATAAACCGGCAATGACAATGAATGCTTCTTGAAACTTCGGTTATCTTAGTGTTTCAAGTATTTTGAGAATTTTTGGGATTTAGACTAATCACCATTTTATTGTTACTTGCTCTTCATTTCGTTGGTCATATGTTAGCATCAGCTGCTCATCATGAGATGAACCGTCTACATAAGCCTTTGAAAATCTAAAGTTAAATCCATTTAGGTCAAATTCTAAGTAGAATTGCAAAAGTTGATCATAATTAAAGTCTTTTCTCACTCCCATTTGAGACTTTGGTGCTGATGGGTGCTCTCAATCTTGAGATTTATCATCCTGATAACCCTTTTCACCAAAATGAGTCTTACTTCCTTACACATCTTGACTTTCAGCTATTTTTGCGCGCTAGTACGGAGTTCACATACTTCAGATCTTAATCGCCTTATCAAACTTTATGTGAGGGAGAACATTTTCATTTTTCTCAATTAAAACCGCCCCCCTACATTGAAATTCTGACCACAAGTGTCGGTTTTTAATTTTCAACTTTTTGTTCATTTAAGTATTTTAATCGAGTCGTTTTGGCTTTATGGGTCTCAAGTGAATACCACATATCTCACGATCTATCCAGTGTTCTTGATTTAGCCATCGTATAAGCAGTGCGTACAGCGCACTGAAATTAACACGTAAATAATTGGGCTTGCATGTTTATGATTTTGGGTCATATGATATAGCATTAAATTTATCGACAAAGAGCCCCTGAAATTGCACATATATGAATGCGACTTCGCGTAATGCATTAAAATCCACCTATTAATAATCAACTACATTCGGACAAATTGTTAGTCAAAAAAGTGGCTCATCGCCATCCGGGACGGGGAAACCCTAACGCTACTCGGCCAACCGGTCACCCAAAGCACCCCAAAGTGGGACCACAAACCGCATACATCGCCGTCCACGTGTACCGACCGTGACGTAATCGGCGAGAAGAGGGGCTCCTGGGGCTTGACGATGGAAGCCATTAATGGCACACACCAGCCAACAAAAGAGATGAGCAGCGCAAGAACCCCGCCCGAGATTTTCAATAAAGCAAAACACGCCCTTTCCTCGGTGGTCCCCCCACACGACAGCTGGTGCCTCGACACGTGGCGTTCCTGTCCGGGACGCCAAGAGTTTCCCGCGTTATCGGCACGGCGGTTTGGCGCGGCGGGAGACGGATCACCGTACACGTGGCGGGGGACAGGTGTCGTCTCCATCTGGTCCCGGCCTCTGTCGCCGGAGCTTTTCTCGAGTCTCCGCCGTCGGGGGTTCTCGAAACTAGCTTTGATTTCTTGTGACTTTGTCTTTAGTCTTGATCCGTTGCTCATTGCTTCTCTTTACTCGGCCGAAATTCATCCGAGAGTAAATGTTGCGTGTACTAAAACTCGACCGACTCCGGCTTACGAAATGATGCCCTTGCTTATGTTGCCGATCGGCCATGCTCTGCTCCGGCCCACCACCGATCCATCGTCTTTGCGGACCGCCCTCCCCATCTATGATGGAGTGTGATTTATACTCTCCATCGACAGAAAGGTACGGAGGGTCTCACTCCTCAGTGAGTGGGCAGAGGTCGCAGGTGGCCGCGCCCCCTACCCCAGCGACGCGCTGCCACCTGCGACGTCAAAATGCTTTTATAATTGGCCTAATTCTCTAAAAAAAACCCTAAACTTTAGGTCAAGTCTCAAATTTGCCCCGAACTTTTTTTGTCTAAAAAAAAACCCTAAACTTTAGGTCTAGTCCCAAATTTGCTCTGAACTTTTTTTTGTCTCGGAAAAAACCCCAAACTTTAAGTTTGGAGCAAATTTGGACTAAACCTAAAAGTTAGGTTTTTTTTTTTAATTTAAAAAAAAAATTGAGGTGAATTTGTTATCGTATCTAACTTTCATGTCTTAGAATGGTTTTATTTTGGAGAATTTCAACAACTTTTATTGGGTTGGATTTGTTATCGAAGGGGAAATGCAACGTCGGTCTGTATATATCGCCCCATTACTTTGCTGATGTGGATTTGTTATCGACGTGGAAGTACCACGTCAAGTTGGGACTGGATCACGGGAGTATATTTTTGAAAATAAATTGAAATTTGCTGATTTTTTTTTACACAAAACAAAACTCATGGCAGATTTGGAACTGAATTTGAAGTTTGAGTTTTTTTCTGAGACAAAAAAAAGTTCAGAACAGATTTGAGACTGAATCTAAAGTTTGGGATTTTTTCTGAGATAAAAAAAAGTTCGAGGCAGATTTAGTACTTGACCTAAAGTTGGAAGTTTTTTAGTGAATTCACCATTTTCACAATCGAATTCCTTCACCCATGCGCTTGGGGTCCTCAACATCCTTGAGGATTGGCTAAGGTCTCAGCCCGACGGCGATGACAGTCACTTTGTCGATCATTTCCCAGTATGCGCCATGTTGCTTCATGTTTTGGAGATAAACTCGAGGGAAAGTAGACTGATGAGATTGAAGAGGTTCAATCTTTCTCGAGTCTATTAATCTTCTTGAAGAAGGAATATATCCACAGATGCTGCCGCCTCATTCAGTATACCAGTCTTAGGCTCCGTTCGTTTGGCGAAAAATATTCTCCTTTTGGAAAATATTTTCCCGGAAGTCATTTTCATGGAAAATGTTTTCCCGGAACATAATTTTCAGGTGTTCGGTGATCAATATGAAAAAGTTTCGGAAAATATTTTTCGCCGTGCGCGCGGCGACCCGGCGACCGGCGGCGCGGCGGCGCCGCGCGGCCGGCGACCGGCAGCGGCGCGGCGGCCGGCGGCGGCCGGCGACCGGCGGCGGCCGGCGGCGGCCGGCGACCGGCGGCGGCGGCCGGCGACCTTAGTGAAGAAGAAGAAGAAGAAGCTCCGGAAAATGATTTCCGCTTTTGAAGAAGCGGAAGTCATTTTCCATAGACTTAGGCTATTTTGTGAGGGGGGAAGGAAAATATTTTCCCACGAAAAACGTTTTCCGCCCCCCGAACACCGGAAAACCCGGAAAATATTTTTCGGGAGAATATTTTCCGCTAAACGAATGGAGCCTTAGTATACATTTAGTAGATCTAGTATTACTCTGCGAATACATTTAGTAGATTAGCGATTTTCGAAGCTTAACGAGTGGATTGTGAATTATGCTAGATTTGGCTTTGAAGCGATTAGAATGTCAGTTTTGACTCTCCCATGCATCAAAAATAAAAAAATAAATTGTTAAAGTCAATTACGCAAAGTTCTGATATGAACTTAAGTTTAGTTTTTCATAATTTTCAGATCGACAATTTCTTTGGAAAGATAAATTTTAAGACGTTCAATATCCAATTTCATCTAAAACTTAAACTGAAGGTCATAATCTGATGGAAAAATAAACAAAACACCCAATAACCAGTTAGAAAAGTTATCAGTAACGAATTTCTTTAAGCACTCTTACGATTCTCAAATATAGGAAGGTTACTAAGATTAATTCTTAAAGCTTGAAAACAAGCAGGTCGATATGAAAATCATACGAAAGAGGGAATACAGAGCGTGAATGTGAGAATTAGTGTGCGAAACCCTCATTTGTCTATGGATATTATATTAAGCAGGATAAGCAGCCGATTGTATTGATAAATTATGCTATCATTAGTATAACCTCATGAGTACGGACATCATATCTTAAAAATAAATTTGATATTTCGTTCTCCAGTTACGTGCTGCAGTTGCTATATAAGCCTTGACATGAACTCAAGAGTTGATATCTGCTGGTGCTGATGTGCATGTCTTGGGGAAGATCTTGCACAGGATCCAGGCGACAGAAAATTTAGTACGACAATTGGTTGAAATATACAAAACTGTGGAGCTTGTGCAGCTTTAATTGACTTTTGTGCTCCCATAGAAGATTTAAAATTTTTGACTTGCCATCTATGTTGACCAGTTTTGCATGTCGGCTGGGTTGAAGATTCCCATCCTTGTAACAAGTAGATGAATGAATTGAAGATGAAGCACAAAGACAAAAGAGAAACCTACGGATAGTAATTAAAGACTTTTTATTGAAAAGAGCAGAGATGATCTTGCTTCCTGGTAATAATGTTATTGAAGTCACTAGAAGTTTGATACAAGAAAGCTCTATAGTTATCAACATCGACTCCAAGACCCGAAAAATTGGTAGCTTCCCATTAACTGGGACTCATTACAGTCTACTAAAATATCCGGTACTTCATATGTTAACATCATGTTGCTGCTATAACTTTCGTCTTCAGTGCCGCAACCATTGATGCCCGTTGAGTTCGAATTCATTGGCGCCGGGCTCGATGAAGGCGTTGATATAGCCGAGGAATTCGATATGGCTGGATCAAGAACATAAAGGTCCTCATAATTATGTGGGATCAGAGCATAATCATCCGTAAAGTTTGAGGACAGCCCATTATCCTTCCAATCAATGACTTGAGAACTTTGGGAGCTCGAGCCGGCGAAATTCGACGGAAATTGTTGCTCTAGATTGGACTGCAGAAGTCTGGTAGCTTCGTCGGAAAATGAAACACTGTGAGTGCTCACCGGCGTGCAAGCCGGGACTTCTTGAACTGGAGTTTGCATTTGGTAGTTTTCAGGCAGTGCTTGGCATTGGCTTTGGTTAATATCTTGCTGTGCTTGCGGAAGATAATTGTGACGTTGATGTTGAGATGACAGGAGCGAGGTTGCAAGCGTTAGGAATTCCGGGTTAACATAGGGCTGGACTCCGACTAATCTCGAAAAGCTCATCTGGGATGAGCTGTAGAGAGAAGAGCTTAGGATCGAGGAGAGGTCGAGAAGGTCGAGGCGAGGGCTGTGAGTCACCGGATCGATTCCCATCCGAAGAAGCCTCTTCCGTATGTGGGTGTTCCAGAAGTTCTTGATTTCGTTGTCGGTCCTTCCGGGCAAGCGGGCGGCGATGGCGGACCACCTGGCGGCCACAAAAGAAGACGATGAGCGAGAGCGTTCTTTTTCTTGAACGGTGTAATTCGTTTTAGATACGCGCACCACGTGAAGAGAAAACAATTCATGCGTCATGCAAAGCAAAAGGGACCACTCACTTGTTGCCCAACAAGCAGTGGAGCTGAATGATGGTCTCTTCCTCTTCGAACGAGAACCGTCCCCTCTTGATATCGGGCCTCAGATAGTTGGTCCAACGCAAGCGGCAGCTCTTCCCGCACCTCTGCAACCCTAACACAAACAACACCAAGAACTCAGAACGATGACCCTAAACAAGAACCCTAAAAGCAAAAACCAGTTAAAAACTACCCTAAACCTTGAAACAAGAAGGTCATATGCAACAGAGAGACGCAAACTTTTGAGGAGCGTTATGGTCCTTGATAAGTACCTGCATTCTTGGGGAGGGTCCTCCAGTTACCGTAGCCGTGCCCCTGGATGTAGTCGATCAGCTTCTGGTCCTCCTCCGGCGTCCACGGGCCTCTCTTCAGCCCGTTCTTGTCGCAGCACGGCGTCCTCCCCATTCTTCTTCAGGACAAGCTCACAATCTCCGGCGCACCGCCCTTCTCGTACGCAGCCGTCGATCGTTCAGAGAGAGAGAGAGGGTGCGTGTGGTGAAGATGAAGAGCTGCGTGTGAAGATGTACGCGTATATATAGTGGCGAAGCAGAAACCCGTGTGGAAGACGGAGGAGGAGGAGGAGGAGCTGGAGGAGGCAAAAAGTCAAAAGGATTCGGTGCCGTCCTCTTCGCGAGACGGTGGCGACGTGTCCCTCTCCGATTCCCTGGAGCAACAAACGCCAACGTTGCTAACTTCAGTCTGCTTCCTTTCTCTCTCTAGGGCTTCGCCTAGTTTCTCTCTCCTGGCCCATCCATCAATCTCCGGCGACGGGGAGAGGTGGCGATCTGACCTGTCCTGGCTTTTGGGATTCACGTTAGCTGTCCACCGAGCAATGATAGGGCCACGTACCCCCCCAAACCTTCAAGGAAGAAAACAATTACATATTCTTGAAAATTGACATGAAAAATAGTAAAATGATATGGATTTACATGATCTTAATGCCAATCTCGTGTTACTTTAAATTCTCAATTGCACGCGAATCATATTAACCGATATAAGATTGAACGGTTGAATAAGATGGGATTCCGATTTACATAATCTGAATACAAATCATATTTATGCCAGAGAGTATCGTGCATTAATCAATATTATACCATGTGCACGAAATTCGATCCATCCCTATCGTCGTCTTGTCGATTGGTCTTACTTAGCTTTCACGTGGACTCGTCAAAACCCGACGAATCAATACATGCGCCGAATCTGCACGGAAAGGAATTTAGCGTGAAGTTAAACACGATTAATTTTAGATTTAATCGAACGCGTCGTTTCGAGATTTCGATTTGGTTTGATTTAATTTCTATAATATCAATTTATTTTTTTCGTATAGTTGATGAAATTGTTTTAAGCGAGGGACATAAACTTAACAAGGCGGACAAGATGGCACATCGGCAAGAGCAAAAACAATGAAATGACACCGATCACCATCCCGATTTTCGGGGATGCATTAATTCAATACAAAATCACATCATCAAAGTAGATATTTTCAAACATATTATATAATTTCGACTTGGCACGGGCTGATTTGGAACGATGCAAGGGGCAATTTTGGGATTTCTCCGGGTGTACGGGTGGTCAAAAAAGTTGGGTCTCTGAAGAAAATTTCATGGATGTCATTGCCGTGAGCACTTAATTCAAGGTGGGCAATAATTGATCGACCTCGGTGCTTGTCCCAAAATAGGAACGTTTGTGGTATATCTTGACCAAAAAGGTTTATCCAAGAAACATGTTTAAGAAATGAAAGGTGTGGTATCATATATATGGTTTGTTTTGATGGCCTGTAATGACCAACTGGACCGACTTGTCGGATCGGCAAAGCGTAATATTGATCGGTAGGATTATATTGAAATTTCATATGAATATTTAAGATTAAATTATTAAATTTAGAAAGTTTAGAGTTGAACTCACATCCGTACAATATAATCTAAATTTGATTGGACAATTTTCCCCGGGAGGGTCTCTTATGGACCAAGATCGAGTGAGATAGCTAGATAGAACAATCTCGTTGGCTATCATAATTACTCCAGACATGGCGATAACTTGAGGATTAGCCCTTTGGGCTTTAATCTTTGTCTCGGCCAACTTCGGCCTTTTCCTACAATATCAACAGTTATATGTGGGCGGTATATATAACTTGCAATCCACCAATTAGAGGCATAGTTAAAGGAAATTTCCTCCAAGCAGGGGTGGAGAAAAATATTGCACTCATCAGAGTTGATACTAACTCCATGCCCGACTCCAATCTTCCCATTGTGATGAACACTATTATTGCCTGCTTGTGCGTGCGAGAGAGACGTGATGATGTTAGTATAAAAGCTTGTAGAAGAAGTAGTACTTCAGTATTGTCTTCTTGTTGAATGAATTTACTTCCTTATCAACTAACAAACTGTGTGTGCGAAGCAAAAAGTCATTGGATTGAAAATCAATGATACTAGCTTAGTACTTTTTCTACAAACCCTTAGCCGTTAAAACCCCTCTCTCTCTCTCGACCACACGTTGATGATGATCTGCTGTCGAGCAAGAATCGAAGAACTCAATTTCATTGACTTTGCGCAAAAATGATTGAACGAATGATTATATAGCTTTCATCTTGGTGTGGGCTTCATCCTAGCAACACAAATTCGAGGGGAAATTCTCACGTCAATTAGCCAACATCTCCTTGTCAATCACCATCTCTTCCAGCTGGACATTTGAAACTCCATCATCTACTTTTACTATGCCCATTGAACACTCTCCTCACGAGTACGTCGGACAGAATATCGCAAACTATTTTTTGAACACGGGGAGGCAAGTCAGGGGCCTAAAATGTCCGCACGTAAGATTTCACGCACCTCTACTATAGGTGCGATGACCGATTCATATGAAGATTTGAGTCGGTGGATGAAGATATGGCTGATGATTCAAGCTCTTCAACTTTAATGTACAAAGTGGGGTGCATAAATCGACACGATGGTCATCAATTAAAGTATAGACCCTAACCTAAGCTCGTAATGACCCCTCGTTATGTTCTGGACCACAGAAGCAAATTTTAAAAACCCGATGACCAATAATGGTGTTATCCAAAAGAAAAATATAGTAATTAATCACGGCCAAGGGCTAGAAATTTCTACATTTCCCTCGTTACCGTAGTAAGACGAGTGATCAAGGGCCATGCAACATCATTTGATAAGAAAATTTCACGTGAAGCACTCTTCATTGGCTTAGAAATCCTCATACGTGTCTCATCTAGTTTTGCGGGACAAACTTTGCGGTCAAACACTAATTTAATTTAATTTACCTGAGATTTTTTAATTCACTTAGGTTGTTTTTTAGGAAATGACAAGGCAGATTATCTTTGACCAAAACCTAGAAAATCTCTTAGATTGCTTTGAGGGCTTCGTCTTGTCTCATTTGCCCTTAAATTGTTCTTTATTGTGATCTTGTCTTATATCATGTTCTAAAAAGATAGTATAACATGAGCACACTTGATAGGCACGCGACATGATCATATAGTTAATCTAAAGTATACCATAATCTATGGTCTATGTCTCCATGCACGAAGTCATGGAGACAGCCCCGGTTCGTCCGACTAATATCAAGTGCCCACCACATTCAGAAAGCTACTGATCAGATTAATTTATGTAATTTAACAGGGGATTACCCACTAAGGAATATTGAAATAATTAATTCAAGAAAAGCTTAATCGAAACTCAATAGGGGTGATGACTTGGTCGAAATCTAGGGCTTGCTTGTGGGTTGAGTCGCCCCACGAAGCTTGCCTGCGTGTATGAGTTGACCGGCCGATATGCGATCGTCATGGATTAGATAATTGCTTTGGAATTGTGAGACTATTGCATTTCGATTTCGCCATCAAGCTTAAAATATTCTCTAATTATCTTTTTTTATTGCACCTAGAACGATTTGTGCGAGCAGATTTCACATGGTTTTGGGCTATTCTAGATGCTAGATCTAAAGCAATACACGTGTGGACTGAACTATTACTATTTAAAGAAGTCTCTTTGTGTATTTTACTCCTTTGCATATTAATGAACTAATTAAATCTACGAAAATTAAAAGAAAGGTTATCGCCGAAGTTGAATAATAATCGAGGCATCCAATTTTCGACTAGTTCAATTTGGTTGATAGGATGGAGGTGATGGTGGTGGTCGACTGGTTGGAGGTGGGGGCTGATAGGACGGAAGTGGCGGTCGATAGGACGGAGGACGGAGGGTGCCATTACGGAGGCTGCTTGTACGGTGGAGAACATGTTGGCGGTGGGGGTCGATGTCATGGAGAAGGCAGGGACGGTAATGGGGAGGTGGTTATGGATGCCGGTGAGATGGTGAAGGGTGTTTCGGGGAGGATGGTGGAGGCTGCCCATAAGATGGTGGCGGAAGCCGGTGGCTATTGGAGCGTGGTGGGGATCAAAGATCTATTAGGAATCTAAAATATGCTAAGTCTCGATATAACAAGAGATAATTTAAAGAATTTACTTATTGGGATTATCGATGTATATGAACCGATCAAAGTGACGGAGAAAAATTGCATCTCATTTTGGCTAGCTAGAACAATAAAAGGGAAATAATTTCTTGGCAAATAAAACGATTTTGGTAAATATAAATTTCTATACGACTTGAATTTTTTATATTCTATTTTAACAAAGGAGTGGTTTAATAATATGCGAGAGCAAAAGAGTCGAAGAACGAAAGGGCTCCTTTACTTCACAAGTCCAAGAAAGTTGGGAGGCCATTGGGCTTTATTAGCACACTCAATGGCTTTACTTTTACATGCTACAAAATGGGTAGCAATCATTTTGGGCCTACTCTTGACGAACGAAATTCTAATATTGTTTATGATCAGCAACCGGATACTAATGTGCTCTAGAAAAATCATTGCTTTTGCACGCGTGCAATATTTAAAAGAAACAATTTACGATCTTTGGAAAAATTGTCAAAAAAGTCTTAAACCTATTGTACGGCGGCCAATTCAGTCTTAAACCTTTTAAGTTTGCCAATTCAGTCCTAAACCTTTTAAATTCTTGCCAATTGAGTCCTTCCGGCCAATTTTGGCCGGCCGGTGCTGACGTGGCCGTCGGCCGGCGCTGGCCGTCCGGTCAACGCTGACGTGGCAATTTTTAATTATTTTTTTCCAATTTTTTAATCTTTTTATTCTTTTTTTTTTCTGCTTTCTTCCCTTTGGCCGGTCTGGCGACCGGCCAGAGGGGAGGGCCGGCGAGGTCGACCTCGTCGGCCTCTGGCGAAGCTCGCCCCGCCGGCCACTGGCGAGGGCAAGCCTCGCAGGCCCCTGGCTGGGCGAGGCGAGGTCGGCCTTGCCTCGCCGTCGTGACCCAGGCGACGGCGAGGCTCGACCTCGCCTCTGCCGGGCGAGGCGAGGTTGGCCTCGCCTCGCCGTCGCCCGGGTCGCGACGGCGAGGCGAGGCGAGGTCGAGCCTCGCCGTTGCCCGGGTCGCAACGGCGAAGTCGAGCCTCGCCAAGGTCGCGAC